GAAAAGTATACTGAACAGAGGCTAGATAAAACAGTCAAAGTTTGAATTATGAAAGGTTTACACTATCAGGTTGGAAAGGGACTAAAATATTTGAGTTTTTTGCAAGACCTTAGAAAGCTGGCTTCTTTTTGTCAAAATACAAATTGTGTGATTTCAATTTTTCTAGAAATTAGATATTCTTTAATTTGTAGGTGTTGATTAACACTAGAATACATCACTAATTATTTTATGTTGCAAAAAAAGGACGCCCTGAATACCATTTTTATCTGAACATCCTGTGGTCTTATCTAGTTTATCAGTGGAAATGCATCTGATTGCGAATTGAAAATCCAAACATGGTAAATTGGTTTCCTTCCATAGTTTATCTTTCTATACACAAAACCGAAGAAATATACATTCTGAGATAAGTTGAATGCATACAGGATACAGGATACAGGATACAGGATACAGGATACAGGATACAGGATACAGGATACAGGATACAGGATGTAGGATACAGGATACAGGATACATGATACAGGATGCAGGATACAGGATACAGGATACAGGATCATGCTTTAAGACTTTCTCATATGTAAAAAAAGGAAGAGAAAAATTGAGACTTTGAGTTCGTTGAAATCTCTATTTGTCTGTTCTATGACCTGAGCAGCTGTCCTGCAAGGTTCCTGCAGCTTGTCGATTAGTTCCTCCTGTAGTCCACTAGTAATCTCTTCATTTAACCAACCACCAGCATTATCCTAGATATTAACTCATTAATGCCAATTAGGTAGTTTCTTAATTAAAATGATCTTTAAATTCAACGGGCATGGTGTTGCATTAAAAGGCTCGAAAACATCAACCTTTGTTAAAGGGCACCCTGTACATTTACAAATAGATATGTTTTTCTTCAAAACAAATCCAGCGTCATTGTTCACATGAAGGGCCATAAAGAAGTCTTAACAATTAATTGTTTAAAAATGTGAAACATTCCTGAAAGCGTTAATAAATTCTGCATTTTATTCTCACACTTTGTTCCGAATTTCGAACACTTTGTTCATAATTTAGCACACTTTATTCCGTATTTCGCACACTTTGTTTCGAATTTCGCACACTTTGTTCATAACTTCGCACATTTTATTTCGAATTTCTAACACTAAGTTAAAATTAGTACAAATCAATCAAAATTTTGCTTTGCCAGGCTTATACAATCAAAATGATGAACATTTTTAGTTAAAAAGATAAATTATCAGATTAAAATGAGTTATTACTGAAGCTTATATTTTTGAATGAATTCAATACATTACTAATCTAATCAATTCATAGCTTTCGTCATTTTCATATTTAAACCAATTATGAAGTTATGAAATTATGAAATTATGAAATTATGAAATTGGTTTCAAATTCATCAGCAAATTGTCTTTCATGGAAAATCTGTAAAATTAATAACAAAATTATTTTGGAATATTTTTCAGCTTTGAAATAATTTTAAATGCATTTCCAAGCATGGCTTCTGTAGTTACATTATAAAAACTAGAGGCAATTGATTGATTTCTGTAATATTTATATTTTATACAATTACGAAATTGGTTTAAGATTCATCACCAAATTGTCTTCCAAGGAAAATGTTGGAAGCTAATAATAATCTATTATTTTTTGATGAAGTGTTTATTGCATAATCAATCTATATATAATAATAAACTAAACAGAAGGATAAGGTCAAATTTAAGCAAAATTACTGGTTTGAATTTGTAACCGTGTAGTTCCTCTAGTTTTGATTTCACGCACATGCTTGGGAAAAGCTAATTTATTTGGTTTGCATGTTAGAAATTCAAAACATTTTTGTATTTTTTCCTAAATACCTACTAAATACCTACTCAATACACTCAATACCTACCCAATACCTACTCTATACCTACTCTATACCTACTCTATACCTACTCAATACCTACTCAATACCTACTCAATACCTACTCAATACCTACTCAATACCTACTCAATACCTACTCAATACCTACTTAATACCTACTCAATACATTTAATACCTACTCAATACCTACTCAATACCTACTCAATACATACTCAATACCTACTCAATACCTACTAAATACCTACTAAATACCTACTTAATAACTACTCAATACCTACTAGATTTACGTGACATAAGAACTTGAAAGAAAAGGCTACATTCATTATCCTAAAATACCTGTGAGATATCAAACCAAACCAAACCTCTTCCTTGGAGGTGACTTCGGCAAACCTAGAAAAAAAATATTTAAAAAATTTCCATTTTTCATTTTATGATCAAAATTTAAAAGCTCACTTCACACTTGAAGATTTTGTTTGTTTTTGATGTAGAACAATTGGATTTAGTCAAAGTAAAAACTGATTTGGTTTATTTCAGTTTAAGACTGATTTGGTTTGGTTCAGTTAAAGTCTGATTTGGTTTGGTTCAGTTAAAGTCTTATTTGGTCTGGATCAGTTAAAGTCTGATTTGGTTTGGTTCAGTTAAAGTCTGATTTGGATTGGTTCAGTTAAAGTCTGATTTGGTTTGGATCAGTTAAAGTCTGATTTGGTTTAGTTCAGTTTAAGACTGATTTGAATTGTTTGAGATCAAGTCTGATTTGGTTTGGATCAGTTAAAGTCTGATTTGGTTTGGATCAGTTAAAGTCTGATTTGGTTTGGTTCAGTTAAAGTCTGATTTGGTTTGGTTCAGTTTGCTTTTGTCAGCATAATTCATAAAAAGATTGGTTCGGTAAAAGTGATTTATTCTGACCTTTCCTGAGTATGGAGCACAATACCCTCCAGCAGCACCTTCTAAAATATTAATTTCTTTAGATTATATAAATATTCTGGAGGTACACTCCCCCTACCCCTCTTTAAAATAAAGTGGGGGGGGGGCACTTCTTTAGTGTTGTCCCTTCTAATTTACGCTAAAAATTCAAGAGCTTTATATAAAGATATCAAAATCCAAAAGCACTTTAAAGCGAATTACTAAATTTAGAATTCATAAAATCAAATCTAGCTTTTTGGCCTATAAACTAAAGGCCCGATTTCAGCGTTCCATTTGAAATAAAAAATATATGTAAATGGTATAATGGACATCAGAAGCATATATTTTACATTTTGATTTTTACTTCAATTTAATCCGTTTAATCTATATAATTCTCTATATAATTCTAAAATACGCAGGATTAAAAGTATAAGTTTTCAGAGGCTTAGTTTGTTGATTCTAAAAATTTATTTAAAACTTACTAAAATTTATACATTTAAGCAGAGAGTTAAGTTTAAACATTTTATTTTGCGGAAACACATTTCATATTCTTGAATTATGAATATTCTATTTTTTCTTTAAATTTGGACAGAACCATCTCAGAGTTTGAAATCCTTCTCAATCTTTTATCCAAATCTTTATTTTAGATAATAAAGATCCGACAAGAATGTATTGATATTCATGTATCCACATATTTAAATATATTTACATATATAATCTCAAAATGTCCATATATATTCAAACATATAAGTACATTTTTTTGAAATATATTTTTAAACTTTTGTTTCTTTAACTGAAAAAATTTAAAATTTACCCTTAAAAAAATCATTGAGAATTTTCCCAACTACTTCATAAAAACGAAAGCTCTTTATTGTTAAAAAAATGTAAATGTCAAAAAAAGTATTTACGAGTTCAATTTTAGAGTCATTAAAAACTCTTTGAGCAAAGTTTTTGGTGAAATTTATTGAGAAATTTTGTAATTCTAGTGAGAGAGTGTAGAGTTGGGATTTGTTTACAAACGATCTAAAACTTAAACCATTGTAAGTTATTTGACCATTACTTGTCCTACCGAGACAAACTACGAATTCCTGATGGATTTATGTGTGGATTGAGAACTGATAAACTTGATGCAACTCATTCAGATCAAAGATACTGGTAGTCTTGGACGATTCGGGCAACCACTTCCTTGGGGTGGGGGGGCAGAACATTAAACATTTTATAGGGTGGCCGAAAAAGCATGATTGTTAATTTTCCTTCTTTTTGAAATCGTCTCTCGAGATTTTCATTGTAACATCCGTGGTTTTAGACTCTACAGACTTTTTTTTAAACAACAATGCCGAATAAAAATCTGTGGCCCGTCGAAAAAAAAATTAGACCCCTCTGTGGTTTATTTTAGCAACAAACATCCACGGGATTGTTCTTGGCTGAGGTTAAAAGTTTCCCGGCAAAGCTGGGTTCTCAAGCTAATACAGTTTAAAAAATGTGTGTTTGAACCCTAGACCCCCCAATCCTAATTCTTTTCTATTAAAATCCCACCTTGGTGTTCCTGCTCTGCTCGTTCCACATAGATCATAAAACTTTTTGTATCCTGAACAATACATTCAAAATTATATATTTGTATCATTAAACATTTGCAAAATTAAACGTTTGCAAAATCAAAAATTCGCAAAATTAAGCATTGCAAAATTCAAACATGGGTAAGTAATTGGGTAAGTACTAAGTATACCTGGGTAAGTGTATCGGTCAGTTGGTTCATGGCACTGCAGGTGTAGTTCCCGGTCTCCTCCGCAACTATCCTGAGCAAGCTCCTTGAGTAGTAGGAGAACGGTTTAGATTCAACGCCTTTCTCAATCTAGAAAAACAACAAGAATATTTATCAAATTAAAATACAATTCTTAAATTGTTTTAAATATATTCTACATTCTGCAAAATATGCAGTTTACATATTTTTTTCTGATATAACACATGCAGTTATTAGACTTTTTTAGCGATTTGATAATATTTCACTAATTTCTGGATGAACAGTTTAGTTCAGTAAAGTACTGTACAGTAGACTGCAGTACAGTACAGGACATTGTTTAATGTTCTGAAATATATTTTACAAAATATTGCAATTTTAACAATGCACATTGATACCAAACAAACGAAACTGATTATCTAGAAAAAAGTTGTTGCAAGATCTGAATTTTAATATATGTTTTAGCTGTGATCATGGGATGCAGGGTAATATCTATTCTACGATTGTTACAACTAAACACGACAGTTCTAATTAAATACAATTTAATCTAAAACTATATACAAGATGCAAAGCAATGAATATTTTTAAAGTTAAATCTCTAAGTTGGATTCAATGTAAATGCCACACAGCTCTGTATGTATTTACGGATAGTATAAAAGTGGTTCATTTTCATAAAACTTTAAATACAAACTCCGCATCAGGAATGACCTGAGCCGAGTACAAAGGAACTGATTACTGGGCTCAAGCTTTCATTTTTAATCCGTATATCTTTGCCAGCTTTTGTCAGAGATTAAAATATCAAAAGTTTACAACATCCGGTTGCAAAGATGTAGGGGCGAACCATTTGCTTAAAGGGCGAGTATTCAGTTTGCTTCAAGGGGTAAATTTGAACAACAGAATATTTTTGGGTAAAACATGATTCATATTTAAACCAGTTGCATGATCCGAGCCAGTGCAACAGGTGAATTCAGTTGTACAGTCCAGTCTGGACTACCAGATGTAGAGTTGACCCAGCATATTTCATGCAACAAATGTAGCCTAGCAAGATCTACAGCATGATAATCTTATAGCATCATCGCGGATTTTTGAAAATTATTCTTAATTTTCTGTGTGCAGTTTCATCTTTTGACTGTGGATGAAAATGATTTTAAATATAAAAAATGAATGCATAAATTTGATGAATGTATAAATGAAAGGATTTAAGATGGGTGAATGAATATTGGAATGAAGATCATAGAAGAATGAATTTCCAGATTCAACAAATGCCAATTAATCTGAGTCTATGGCTGTTTCATTCTGATGGTAATTAAATGAACTGTTTCAAGTGTTCTTCCATTTCAGATTTCCAAGGGAACCCATTAACCTTTATCTCATCAATAAAATAGAAGATATCTTCGTTTTTCTGGTTTGAAAAGTGTTTAATTCTAACAATTTCCTCCGCTATTGTTTCTATAACAGATGCCAACAAAAGTTTCCGATCTCTTCATCTTTAAAATCCATTAAATTAAAGTCTGCTAGATCAAGTAATCAAAGTTTTAAATATCAATAATTTACACCATCAGGTTGCAGTGATATAGGGATTAGAAAAGGTTGGTTTGTGGCAAGGACTCAATTCCGTTTACAGTAAACTCAAATTCACTACAAACCTAAAGAAGGTAAGTCTATAAATTGGCGGCCTGCAGAATCTGTGAATTTATTCATCTTTAGACGTTGAAATCTATGCTTGAAACAGGACCTTGATACTAACATTATAAAACTGCATCAATTCAAGCAATTGCGCTTTTTTATCTAATACAATCTCATCCCTTTTTCAACCCGTGAAACATGTGGAGGGTAAAAATGAGTGTTTTGAACAATCGATAGGATCAGTTAGCCCAGACAAGGGATCAGATTATGGACAAGAATCTATAAACTATTTTTCAAGAACTCTGAGTTATGATATCATTCATAAAAGTGTGGTAGGAATGGATTTAAGTTTTTTTTTAAATAAGTGTCCATAACAGGGCCAGAACCAAATGGAAGGGAAGGAAATCTGACAATTTTGTTTTAACATTGCTGAACTACGTACCTTTATGAGGAATGTTGAATTAACCTTAATTAGTTCAACTATCTCTCTTATTCATAAATTTCCATCTCTGATATTTCAAACAGATGTCTATGTCTCAGTGTTGGGTCGTAAATCATTCATTAAAGTTTTTTTTTGTCNGGGGGGGGGGTAGTAAAAAGGAACGCATATTGGAGGAGAGAAATGGAGTAGAGGATAACTGAAGGCTTTTGAGGGATTGACGTGGAGGGGTTTAAATTATAAGTTAAAAAGTGGGAAAATAATAGAGTGAGGAGAGAAAAGGAAATAGAAAGGGAGGATAATGGGGGAGGGAAAAAGAGAAAAAAAAGAAAGAGAAACAGGAAGACAAGGAAAAAGGGGAAGAATGAGAAAGAAGGGGGGGGGAGGTTAAAAGTATAACAAGATAAGAGTGGTTTCGACAGATGCCAGAATTATAATTAAATTGTGCAATGCAGAAGAAGGAAGACAGGGAGAAAGTATTAGGGGTGGAAGAGTAAAATAATATTATTATCATTATAATGAAAATATGTAGACTGGATGGGAGAGTAAAATAATATTATTATCATTTTAATGAAAATATGTAGACTGGATGGGAGAGTAAAATAATATTATTAT